ATATTAAAGCTTGAATGGGTAATGAAGAAAAACCCGTCTCCAGCTATTATACATACAGTATATTAACAAAATCTCTCCCTTTAGAATATTCCATACTGCACATTCCGTATTTGGTTTATGTCAACCGATGAGAAACGTGGAAAAAACAAAATATTTTATAGATTAATGTTTGAAAGTGTTATATAAAAGCATACATGGGGATTTCATACGTGCCTTTTTTTAAAAATAGAAATAACTGATGGGCTAGGCAGGTTAAAGGGCTCCGTTTATATTGCGTTCGATTTTATTATCCTGACCCCAAAATGGGGTCAGGACACCCTATTCCTTTAGGATAATGTGACTATCCTGCCTAATTTACACCGATTAACAAAAGCCACACCATAATAAATCCTATTTCTTTACAAAAAATATTTTGTCGGAAACAAATGCTATTTTAGACTATATTAGTGAGTCAAAAAGGCCTGGTTACACAATAAACTTAAAACAATAATTGAGAAAAAAAAGTCGACATTTCCTTGTACACACCTTTAACCATCCCATGTAAAAGAAAAATTGAAGTATCGTAAAGATGGGAACATACAAATCAATTTTATGCCCAGAATAACCTTTTGATAGATCTAGATACTGTCTGCCCATCACACAGGCTAGGAAGTACGTGTAGATAGCTAAAGTCACCACCTGTCGGTAAAAAACAAAACTAATTAAATAACATAAAATAACAAAATATCGTATCAGTTAGAGAACATATAAATAAATGGAACAAACTGTCAGAAGTTTCTACCGCATCAAGATTTCTGAGTGTTTCTTCCGTTTACTGTTTTATCTGTTTGTTTTTTGTTCTCCAATTAATTAAAACATTTGACTTCAGTTTTTTTACGATTTAAATAAGGCTAAGGTTATTTTCAGTAAAGTAGTTAATGATCTATCTAAAAAGCTTGTGAAATTGTTGTGCGTTATAATCAAGAAGTTAATTTATAGTTTATACGTCTTAATCAAATACGCAGGCACAAAAGTCTTCAAATTAAATTACTTGTTTAGGTCTTGAAAACTGTGAAATTTAGACTCGAATCTTGAACACGAATATTTTTCCTAATGGCGTCCAAAGTTCATCATCCAATATTATTTAGAATTTTCTGTTTATTCAGCTAAGCACTAAATATATCGAAAGTATAATCTAATTTTTCATAATGGTTACAAGATATGTAGGATTTACATATCATATTAACTAATATATATTTAATATGTCACATAAATAACTCAGTATTTCTTAAAAGCTATTAAGCCAATTCAAAAGAATTGAGCAATTATATAGGGCAATCTCTCTCGTATATAAAGACAATTTTATAAACACAAAATCATACCGTTAAAGTTTGCTGAAAGCAAATAATTCTTCTTCGAAGTCTCTCGACATCTGACGTTACAAAACTGTTACGAAGACATTTCAACTCAAGCTTTGGGCAATAAAGTAGTTTAAATCTTATTTACCTTGAGTGTCTACTAGTAGGAATATAAACATGTAGCTAACACTTTTATATAACAGCAAATGTTTTATCTCTTTTATAATTATAAATTTGGAAATAGTAACTCAATAAAAGCGATATTTAAAGTATTTACTTTGAAAATCAATCCGTTTATAGTTATTCATAATGGTACCTTTACAGTTTTCAAGGAAAAGCCTTACACTAATTGTTTTTTTTTTTAACATCCACGAGTTAATCACGGTCTCGTTTGAATTTCACGAGGGATCCGGCATGGCCAGTTGGTTAGGGCGCTCGACTCGCAATCTGCGGGTCGCAGGTTCGAATCCGCGTCACACCAAACATGCTCGCCCTTTCAGCCGT